TTCCTGGGATTTTTCTATTATCAGTGGAGGTTTTGCTCTTTCTTTTCTCAGCGTGGCGGCAAAAATGCACCACAGCGCTGTGCAAACATACTCTTGTCTTATAGAAATCCATCTGGCAGCTTTCCCCCACGGAGCAGCAGGAAGGAACCAGCCACCACTAAGGTGTGTGGTTTGGAATATTAACATTGTTGTTGGACAGAATCTAGATCCCCGTTAAAAAGTCTAAATGGCCCAGCAGACTAATCCCATTTGGGATTATTGTCGCCCGTAGCTGTTGTGTACAATAGAAGCAATTTCATTACGTGTAAAAGGACATTAGTACCAGGACCAAGCAGACTGACTGACGCTGTGCATTAACTGTGAAGAAATAAGTCTAAAAGGGTTATGGAATTCCACGTATTATTATAACCAGTCCAAGGGAAAATTTGACGAGCTGTGTTATTTTATTTGACCTTTTTTTTTTTTACATGAATGGGATGTCCAATGGCTCCAAAGTGGCTGCCAATTGCCCGGGTGACAATAACCGCTTCCTGTTTAAAAGTGTCACGATCAGAAACGCTTCTTTGGAGATTGTTAAACATTGAAAAAAGGCCCACAAAGGTGACAACTGAATAATAACCAATGAGTAATAATACGGACTGACAACCCAACTTTCAACAGCTGCTGCTCAATATTCCACGTTACCAAACCAATAAACACAAATAGCTTCGCTTAAACGCAACATGAAGTTGACAACAAACGCTTTAACAACGAAACGCTGGTTTTGCTTTTGTTAAAAAGGGCCTCGTGTGGACTCGATACGTCGCACGAAACACCGTCCAACACATCCGGCCTGAGCGAGGACGAGGTCCCTGCGACAGGGAGGTTCTGATTGCGATGATGTGCAGCGGGCCTCGATTTTAATGACCAATCATTGTCATTTAATAACTTCTTCACCTGCAAACACACAATGATTTGTTCTCAGGACCACTTCAGCATCGTTCAGAAGAACCACAGCTGTTTGTAAGAAGAGCTTGGATCTAATCCGGCGTGTCAGAGGCTGCAACGTTCCCGTAATGGGAAAGTGTGCACAACTGCTCGGCCCGCTGAGAGCACGGATACGAATTCCTAATCAACCGCAGCCGACGTGGCAATAAATCAAGACAAAAAGACAACAATGGACTCAGACAGCGGCGCGCTACACCTCCGAGTAAATACAAAAACGCAATTATGCGCGACATTACGTGAGCCGACCGCTTCGCTTTGTGCTCGCTCTCTCTCTGCAGAGGAGCCACGACTCAACAGGCGAACCGCAGATCGGCAACGAGGCAAAAGATCCCACGACGCTCGATGTCGGTCCTCAGCAGAGCCCACAGAGCGCCGTGCGAATGAGGCGCGCCTCACATCGCCCGTGTGACCCAAGGCTCGACATGCTGTATTCCTCCGAGCGTGATCTCCATGGTTACTCCATCCAGAAACCACTGCGAAACTGAGTGGCAAGTCCCTTCATTACCACCGACACGCACAGACACACACTGTGGCTCAAGATTAGCAGCTTTATTCAGATTGTTCTGTTTTACAGGAGATCTTAGATCTTATAGCTTCAGCATTGCCTTTCAGATCACTCGGTTTGTGCTCTTTTTTTCAGCTGTTTCTGAAGATCAGACAGCGATACGGCTCTCGTGTCACGTCGGTTGATGCAGACAGTGCCCATAGTTTAAAAATGGTCGACTCTTATCTTGCAACTTGGGTGCTACAATAAGCACGAAGCCTCCTGGCGCTGAAGGTTTCCCGTGGAGGACATTGTTTAAACGCTTGGACAAATTTCGCTGTTTCTTGGCTTATTGGCAACGAGCTCAGTGCAAACAAACAAAAACGTTTCAATAAACCTTTCAGAACGGCAAGATTAAAAACATGCACATCTCCAGGACAACGCTGTGGTAATGAGCTGTCAATCACGAGCAAGCCTGAAGCCTACAGAGACTTGACTCTAAATGTGACAACCAGATACTCGATGGACAGATTGGAAGCATAAACTCAAGCTCACAATGTTCACTGAGGTAATAAATCCTTTTCTCATAAACTGTCCACACTGCAGGCACTTTATTATCGGCGTCTTCGTTGCCTGACCCGCAGGAGCAGAGTGTCATCGCAAAATGTTTGCATTTTTATACAAACTCCTGTTTGTCTGCACGAGCATCGGTATTACATCCGCAAAACAGAAGGCGCGGCCTCCTCTAACGTCTATTAATCCACCGACGGACCGCTGCACAAAATAAGAAAATCATTTGTTTAGGATCACATGATTGACGGGATATCATGATCAGGAAGCAGGACAGTAATGAATCATTACTCATATATTTTATTGCTATGTGCTCCCCATCACAACAAACAGCATCAGTAGTGTACACTTCAATCTACACAAATAGGAGGAAAAGTGAAACGAGCAGAGAGTGACTGACAATCGTAATGGGCAGAAATGCACAAGGGGGATTAATACAGTACACGGAGAATGCATTGCAGTAATATCTGTCTGAGGCTCAGGGATTGTCAATGTAACATCTACAACTATCTTTATTTATCATTACAAGCTCTGTATAACATTAGCAGCAATGTCAAGGCAGCACGTTAAGGATGTGAAAATAACAAAGGAGGAAAATGTAAAATGGTTAAAAATCTACTAACAGCATTTTAAAAAAAGTTACTTGTGCTAAACTATCAATGTTTAAAATAAAGCATTTGTCTGGTCAGTACATGTCACTGCGATGTAACAGCTTTGTTAACAACTTCTACAAAACAGCTGTGAAAAGACAGCTTTCTGATAACAAGTACAATGTCTCAAAATTGAGCATTTATATTTACAACTAATTGTTTGCAAAAAACAATGTAATTTCTAGCCTATCTCGTTTTTTTGGTATTTTTAAAAAAAAAAGTATAAATCCATTTTAAAGGTGAAAATGTGGATGAAAGATGTTCATAAATGAGATTCTATTGAATACAATGTAAAAACGTCTCAATAAATATTCATGTACCCAATGCTATATACATACACTATATATATATATTATATATATACTATATATATATACTATACATACACTATATATATATACTATACATTGGCACACAGGAGTGAGTGTGAATAGTTATTTATTTACTGAAAACACAAAACTGTGTCTTTGCTATTGCAGTCAGATGCACGGTGGTTGTGAGGATATTTTTTTGTCTTCAATAATTAAATAATAATAAAATAATAGCTTTCTCTTCACTGAACCCTCCTTTTATATAGAAAAGAAAGCCATTATTTAAATAAAAAAACATGTTCCAAATATGATTAAAAAAAATAACTTTTGGCGTCTTGTGCTTACAATGATACTTTGATCCTAAAAAAAAAGAATGCACAAAGAATCCTGGTTCTGATGGAACGTTAATGGTGTTATTAGCGTAAAGCTCCATTAAGCAATCATTTGTTGCATTAGAATGTTACTCAATTTGCACGGTGAAAGAGCAATGGACCACCTGAGGATGAACACCTGCAGACCTGCTCTTAGCTCCACTGCTGACAGCTGCGTATGTTAGCGCCAAACTCAGAGCTCTAATTAGCAAGCTGGTTGGAAAAGTGGAATAATTAGAGGCTTTTTAATGTTTCAGAAGTTTAAATGTTTCTCTGAGGAGCTGGAGGAGACCAAAAACGGAGCTAAAAGGAGGATTTGTATTCGGCATGTGGATCCAATGGGAGGCTCATGTCCTCTGATGGATCCGCAAATAGGCAACTGTGAGTTTGTTTGGGCGTCTTTCTTCCCCCTAGTGGTCCGAAAAAGGTTGAATGCAGCTTTAAGTGAGGTGAGATTCAAACTGTGTGCACTTTTACAATCATGTCAAAGCAGATGATTTTAAAATACATTTCAGTCGCGTTGTGAAACAAAAGTTTAAGGAGCACTGAATATGTTCCCTTCTTTGACTTCAACCTCAAACCTTTTGACCACAAACTACAGAGAGGGACACGAAAAGTCAAAAAAGTCAACGAATGAAAAAAGGCCGGGCTGAAAAGGAATAGTTTTAACATTTTGAGAGATGAGCTTAGTTGCTTTCTTCCCAAAAGTTAGAGGAGGCGTCTGATACCAGCTTCATGTCTGCAGGAGATGTTTAGTTCAGCAAAGCTCAACACAACCAGGAACGGAACTCTGTTCAAAAAACATTACCATTAATTTAACATATGTATTAGTTGGTAAGCTTGGTGGTTGTACTCTGGACAGCTTTCCCCGCCTGCTTCCGGTATTTATGCTAAGATAAGCTAAGCTAACAGCCTGCGTGCACATGTGATCTTCATATAAAGTGTACAACTCAAAGGGTTGAACTATTCGATGTTCATTCAACACCGCGGCTGAAACTGTAAACATTTAGAATAATAGGTTTTTATTTAGCTTGATGTTTTTTGGAAGTATCCTCAGCTTCTTCAAATAATACTGATGTTTTAATGTACAGTATTTACAGAAACTTTCATAAATACCCATAGAAGAGAAGTAGAGCGACAGTGCTGGTTGTTTAAAGAAATCTATACAACTAAAACCACTTTCCCAACGGTCCTCGATGGCTTGGCTGAATTCCCTCACTGGGACAGGTGAATTCTCCCACCGGGACAGGTGAATTCTCTCACTGGGACAGGTGAATTCTCCCACCGGGACAGGTGAATTCTCCCACCGGGACAGGTAAATTCTCTCACTGGGACAGGTAAATTCTCTCACTGGGACAGGTGAATTGGGACAGGTGAATGCCCTCACTGGGACAGGTGAATCCCCTCACTGGGACAGGTGAATTCCCTCACTGGGACAGGTGAATGCTCTCACTGGGACAGGTGAATTCCCTCACTGGGACAGGTGAATTCCCTCACTGGGACAGGTGAATGCTCTCACTGGGACAGGTGAATTCCCTCACTGGGACAGGTGAATGCTCCCACTGGGACAGGGGAATGCTCTCACTGGGACAGGTGAATGCCCTCACTGGGACAGGTGAATTGGGACAGGTGAATGCTCCCACTGGGACAGGTGAATTCCCTCACTGGGACAGGTGAATGCTCTCACTGGGACAGGTGAATGCTCTCACTGGGACAGGTGAATTGGGACAGGTGAATGCCCTCACTGGGATAGGTGAATTGGGACAGGTGAATTCCCTCACTGGGACAGGTGAATGCTCTCACTGGGACAGGTGAATGCTCTCACTGGGGCAGGTGAATGCCCTCACTGGGACAGGAGAATTAGGACAGGTGAATGCTCTCACTGGGACAGGTGAATGCTCCCACTGGGACAGGTGAATGCTCTCACTGGGACAGGTGAATGCACCCACGGGGACAGGTGAATGCTCCCACTGGGACAGGTGAATGCTCCCACTGGGACAGGTGAATGCCCTCACTGGGACAGGTGAATGCTCTCACTGGGACAGGTGAATGCACTCACTGGGACAGGTGAAAGTCGACACACTGTGGGTGACACAAAAGAAAGCTTCCCCATTCGTCGGGTTAAAAAGGTCTGGTTGGAATAAAACGACCATTGTTGCATTTTTTTCAATCAGCGTTGCTGATCAGACGCCATCTTTTTGATATCTAGTAATCCTTTGGCTGTCTGATATCTGTCGTCGATACTTTGGAAGTCAATGTGAGGGGCGGAGGGGAGATTCTAAAAAAACCAAACAAAGTGAACCAGCACTTTTCTTTGCTGCTGTACATTACGAGTCCTGAAGGGGAGGAGCCTCGCTCTCATCTCTCCACTCCGGAATACCCAATAGGCCGCCGACCCTCTGTCGAGCCGCTTGACCTTTGACCCTCTTCCGAGTGCTCCGGGGGAGACGGCGCCGTGGCGGCCAGCTTCATGCCGGAGAGGCCCGCCTGCCGCGGGACCCGCCGGGGCGCCGGCGTCACCTTCGGCGGCGCTTTCTTCAGCGGGGCGGCGCCGGGGGCGGGCCCTTTGCCGCCGCGCGTGGCGTTGGCCGCCGCGTAGGCCGTCAGCGTCTCCAGCAGCTGGGAGGCGGAGCCGAAGCGAGCGTGCTCCTCGGCCTCGGCCGCCTCGGGGAACGGCGACAGGGCGGCGCCGCGCCTGCTGCAGGAGTCGCAGCACAGCTTGCTGTAGCCCGGGATGGAGCAGTACCGCGCCAGCACCTCCATCTGGCAGAAGATGGACTTGTCTCCGCTACACGGCTCATCTGAACGGGGAGAAGAAGGTGCGGGTTGAAACCCTGAAAGTGAGAGATTGACATAACAACCGCACTTTATTTAACAGAATGATGGAGGTCACTGTACTGAACTACAGGCTGCAGCAGCAGAGCCTCGTGCTAGCTGCCGCGCTAACACACGCTAACACACGCTACATGTGCATGCTAATCTGTGCAGCGTCACATCTACGCTCAAAACGTCCATAAGCCTCCGTATGTCTAAAGATATGTTTTTTTTCAACCTGCGGAAGTTTGATAAATTATCGTACAAATGTTTCTAAAAGGTCGATCGACTTCACATCAATCAAAAAGAAGCAAAGCAGCGTTTTTCTCAAGTTCTTGAGAGGTTACACTTGCTGGGAAAAATGACTGAAACGATTCTAAACATTTAATTTGTTATTTGAGGTACAAACACATTCGCTTTGAGAAGTTCAACGTCAGGGGATCATAAATTTCTTCCCTTCGGCACAAAACTGTGAAATGCAACAACAAAAACAATTTACTGTGCTAATTGCCTTGTTTTCCCTTTTCTACATTATGAAATGTTTGGTCAACTTGCAGACATTCGCTCGTGATTTCAGCCGTTTGAAAAATCCTGCTCCTCTTTTTCTGCCTCTTGTAAATGTGCTTCGGGATGTGAACGAGGTTCCACCAGCAGCGCAAAGAGTCAATACACACAGGTAGGAACATATTGATGTGCTTTGATGGCTCCACGCCACTAATTAAGAACATAGAAGGTGGATCAGCGTGAGATCTTCATCATGCGCTTTGAAGCTCCGCAGAAAACACACACTTTTTTTTTTTAACCTTTATTCAAATCGATCTCTGCTGCAAATCCGCTTGGCATTCACGCGTCGTGGGACGACGTCAATGAGTAATTGGCAGTTATTTGAGGATGACGCATTTGAACCTCTTTTTAAACACACGTGTGATGTATTGTTGCTAAAAGAGAGCCCTCACAGCATGATGCCATGTTAGTCACTCCAGTAAGCCGCCGTGAAGAGGGGAAATGTATATTTACACTGCACTCATGAGTATTCTGAAAACCATGTTGTGGGGTTTTAATTTCATATGTATTTGCTCTTTTCCTTCCAGGCAGCAGTTGCTTTTCATTTATTTCTCTTAGTCATGAAGCTAATTTGGCGATTCATAAAACCTGCCTCAATGAGTCATTTATCACAGCAACGTTATATTGTTGTTGTGAGCTGAATGGCAGAATGTCTTCAGAAATCACATCATGAACTTCAACAATAGCACTTTAAAGCGTATTAATGCAGACATTTACTGTGACGAATTGTGCAATTGGGTTTCAAGGTTCTGAAATAAAAGGAAACCGATTTGCAGTTAAGGAGTTGAAACCTGCGGAAAGAAGGACATCAGATGTTGACGTTGTCCTGCAGAGTCACGCCGGCTAGAATGGGAGGACATGCTCACCGTGGCAGGCTGCCGGTCTGCAGAACCTCACGGTTTCCGGTTTGTCTCCGTTGCACTGGTCTCCGATCCGGCAGGTGACCAGCCGGCGCTCCATTCCCTCCCCGCAGGTGACGGAGCACTGTGGAGGAGCGAGGCGGGGAATGTCAGATAACAAGCCGACTTCAATCTAAACGTCTTATTTCTCCTGTTCCACAAAATACCCGAGGAACGCGTTATAAGTGCCGTGTCACAGAGAAGCTGCTCTGTTTTGGTTGATGGAGGACCTCTCCGGGGTGCACCTATCATTGCCTGTTCCGTACTGCCAGCTGCCTCCTCACTTACTCCAAAACGTCCCTTCACAAGTCATTCCACGTGCTCTGCTTTGAATCAACCCGGCAGCCTCCACGTGCACATTACCGTCGCGATGGTATTTGAAGGATGTGCCAAATCGTGTTCGGGGGAATTAACCGTCGCTAAGCGCCGTTGCTACGCAGTCAAGCCGCTGGAGCGACACTCACTGCTAAAATGCTCTCAAGATTCATGGAAAAGACATTTTGTTTTGTAGTGGTGGTTCTACGACCTGCACATCCACGGACGTGTTGGGGATTTAGCAGTGGAATTATAATACGTTTGATAATGTTTAGTTGTTAGAATTGTAGTTTGTGTGTTATTAGATGTTAGTTATTGCATCAGCATGTTGGATTAATAGCTGCGATATGAATTAAACACAGTTTATGGTCATTTAAGCTGAGAGAGGTTTCAGGTCATCGCCACGGAGGACAATGAGGGGAGGAGCTACGTTTGAATGTGCAGCCAATCACATTTGGTCGCACAAAAAAGGGACACACTTCAGGAGTTTTTTAAAGGACAGAGACATGAAAAGAACAGTTCGAGTTCTTTGTAGGTCGCCTTCGACTTAGACTGAGAGTTCTATGTGTTGCGAAATACTATTCTATTCACATTGCATTTCACTTTGCAACTGCATTACTTAAATTAAACTGATTTTTATACTCGAGCCAGTGACTCTTCGCCTGCGGCCGGGACCCCCAGGCGTGGAGAACCCCACAGCTGTTAAAGGGAACCGAGGCATCGTTTTGAGAGAAAGGAGTTGAGGCCCCACACTGCTCCTGTGAAGCTGCATCGCTCTTTACCGACTGCTGCAGTCATCAGGCAGTCAATCAAGCAGCATGTGTTCACAGTACACTTTAAGTAGCTGGTGGCACTGAAGTGCTAAAGCTGGTTCATGGTGTGCAGCTAGTTAATAGCGGAAAAACACTCTTGCTTAAGTATTATTTGCAGAAATGTGCATGAATATTTGTATATAAAGAGCAGGACATCTGGAAGCAGCTGACATATATCAGCTGCTGGCATGAAGAGCTGCGTCTTATTAGCTCACCACTCAGCAGGATGTCGCATTTATTGGATTTTTCAGTGGCTGGAAAGGTCTCATTTGGTGAAACGGGAGAACTGAAACTGCCTTGTTTTCCAATCAGAGATCGCACGGCTCTAAATGAATTATCAGAGGCCTCATCTATCACTTTACACACGATCTTCCCTGCGAACCACATCACACACATCGAGGGTGTTGCAACGCTACAAAATTAGTGCCCATTAGCGGCACGTGGCGCGTTGGCTGCCGGTTAATTGGAACCAAGCAAACGCAAAATCAATCGCATCGACCCGTCGCCCAACGATCCCTTCATAATAAAGAGTCGTCCCTCTCTCCCCCGCGTGAACAACAGGGGCACCCAACCTCCGACCAGGCGCCGGTCCTCCACTGCGCGGGGCAGGACACCCGGCCGCACGGCCTCCGGCTCTCGGGCTTCTCGCCGCTGCAGTACTTGCTGTGGACGGAGCGGTTGGTGCCGTCGCTGAGGCACTGCACGCAGCGCACCGTCCGGATCTGGAAGCCCAGGCTGCCGCAGGTTTTGGTGCAGTGCTCCCAGTCGTCGGAGCTCCACCTGGGGGGGGAAGACAAAAGAGAGGGGGACACGCGGCGGGTTTAACCAATCGGAACGAACGCGCTTTCTCAACGAATGCACCTGAAGGCATCCAGCATTAAACCCGCCGGTGACAGTTGCATAATTGGCAGAGCTGCCTGCGTGAACCGAAGGGACGCTCCTCGTGGTATTTCACCGGGTTGCTCTCTGATGAGTCAGCAGCAGCACGCCGTGTCCTCTATACAAGTCCAACACAAACTATTGATACAATTACAATCACACACTCTCTCGTCCCAGACGTCAATGGCTCCTGGTGGATGAACCCTCTTGACCTTGTGACCCCGAGCCGCACCTTTTGTGCTATTAAGCATATGCCAGTATGATAAGTTAGGTGGTAACCATGGTAACCCGGCTACACATTTCCCTGTGAGACTATTGTCTAGGTAGCTGATAGCATGCTAACACGAACCAGTGAAAGGTGTGTTCATTTATCTATTGTTATGTGACACATATACGTCTTTTTCTCTTTGTAAAATGGACTCAAACGTGTCCTTCCAAAAAACATCCGATGCCACAACAGTCACAAAGAATTTCACCGTTTATGGAAGTTATCAGTCACAGCGATATGAAGAGAGACAGAAGAGACGTGTGCAGGATATCAGTGAAAAACAGCTTCCACTTCCAAAGAAAAGAGGCTGAAGTCTGCTTCCTTATCATTTTGTGTGATTAATTGTTCGGCTTCTTGTTCGGAGTTGATGTCATAGGATGTTTAACTTTGCTCAACACTCCAGAACCCGAATGCAGTCATTGTACGATGTTAGAAAACAGAAGAGCAGCGTGTTGAAAATGTAAATGAATCAACTAATCGATGCAGCTTTAACAAACAAACCAGCTTGGAAACATAACGTTTCGTCTTTTCCAGTTTAATGCGAGTGAATCCTCGGGATGGAATCAATTATTTTCTCAATAACCCAGCGATCTCGAGGTGGATCGATTCCGGCCGTCACACTTTTTAAAAGTGTTGCTTTCTTCCTTTGTACTTTTGTTTCTGACAACGTTTCTCGCGACATTGACGGAGCTGCAATCGCATCCGGGCGGTTGAACACGTTGAACGCGGAGAAAGCAGCAGGTGATGAGTGAGGAGCTCAGGCGTCTTAGCACGACTGCAAAGGACAGAGTGTGCGACTCCGGAGCAGGTAGCTGTGAAAAGCGCTGCGCTTTGTCCTCGGGCAGTAATCGCTCACTGCTCTTCCACACACAGAATTAGCATGCAGCGGCGCGCGCGGAGCGCTGACAGACTCTTTCCAAACTGTCCACAGAAGTTGAGGCTCATCCGTCAGCGAGGAGCCGCACGGAGCTGAAGAACTGTAGGAAGTAGAAGGCTGCTGTTTAAAAGTGAAGAACAGAGGGGGTTTTTTTATCCATTGACCCGGGACTCAATTTATACTCGAATAAAAAAATAAATCAACATAATAAACTAGGGCTGCAACAACGAATCGATAAAATCGATAATTAAAAACGTTGGCAACAAATTTCATTATCGATTTGTTGTGTCGCGCGATTATTACGTCACTCAATGAGTTGCGGAGATGCGCGCGGAGCAAAAATAAAAATAAAGGCACCGAGCCGACGTAGAGGAAAGAGCAGCCGGCAGTTGTTGTGAGTCACATGACGTCTGTTCGACTAGTCGTCTAAGGTGTGCGAGCGTGGGGGGGTCCCGGTCCACGTTGTCCCGTTTTGACCTCCTGTTTACTCGTCCTCCAGCTGATCAAGCTAGCGTTAGCTCGCTAATAACAGCAGTAAAGCAGTTATTTACTATGCATTTACTTAACTTGCACTACAATGATGGTAATAATTTAATGAATATGCTTCAAGTGAACACGAGGGTGTGTTTGTGAGTGTAGTATAGAGAACTAGTTCTGACGAATTTGAGGTTCTGTTTTAGAATAAAGGGTTGGAAATTAAAGCCTTTTAATGCCGTTTAAAAAAAAATCTGATTCATCGATTAATCTAAGAAATAATCGACCAATTAATCGATTATCAAAATAATCGTTAGTTGCAGCCCTATAATTAACCTTTATTTTTTTTAACACAAACACACAAACTGTTTCGTTGGAATTGTTGTGATGTTTGTGTCGTGTTGTGCGTCTGTATCAAAACCAAAACACCAACAACTGAAGCTTACGGTTCTGCTTTTGTAATGTTTGATTACCACGACTGTCGGAACCCCCCCAACCCACCTGCGACGCTCTTGTTGAGATCTGTCCAGATGTTTGCACCAGCTGTGCTCCGTCTCGCACGGACTCGCACCTATTCAAGTGTGTTTCTCCCACAATGCACTTGTGAACAGGAGGCCGAGGCCCTCGCGCCCCTCCAAGGAGCAGCAGCTGGGCGAGTGTTAGCTGAAAGCTGTTAGCACCACACACGTAGCCAATACAAGCGAAAGGCCCCACACACACACACACACACACACACACACACACACACACACACACACACACACACACACACACACACAGAGGGCTGCTGTTTGATTCATCCGAATCACACCGGAAAGCTCAGTGATTAAACCCTTTTCACCAACACGGCTGTTTGTGGCGGCAGCTCAAGAGACGTCTCGCCTGCTCGTAACCGGACTGGGATCAGAAGGTCACCGGGCGTTGACCTCTCTTCTCCCGTCTTTCAGTGCGTGATCCTTCGGCTCCCCCACAAACTGACCGTCAAGTTTGAATCCACCGTTTTAAAATACCAATGTGCGCCAATGAAATCCCGCTCCGCATGTTGAGAAGTCTAATCTGCTCTCTTGGCACGCTGTCCCAAATGTCCCAAATGTCCTACTTGGCTCTTCTGCCTGAATCTTCTCCAGTTCGCCCTGTCAGGTTAGTCCAGACCAGCGGTGATGAAGAGGGGAGCCACCCGGCCGTACTGGGAGTTGGCTTTAATTTCAAAAAGACACTCAGACACCAAAGGCCTGCAGTGCTCTTCATCTTTTATCTGAGTAACTAAAAGGAGTTCAACGGGAAAAAAAATTATTACATAAGAAATGCTCCATTTCTTGATGTTGAAAGTTCTTGGATCTGCACCAGAACATTAGCTTTTACTCGCCCACGTTTCCGCATAACTCATTTCACTTCTGTCAGCAAAATCTTTCAAACTTGGCAAGCATGCCATCTTTACTTTCTGATCCCTCTGCAGACCTCCTGTCACACTGAGCCAATCTAACTATTGTCATGTTCAGGGGACGAGCAGACCCGTTGAATGTGGACTGGTCCTCCTTTCTGTCCACATGCGGTTTTCATCCTGAACATCCCGACAATCTGTGACTCGTGTCCGAGCTCATCTCGCCCTGATTGAATCCCGTGGCGACGTCCTTCCACCAAAAGAGGAGGCAGATGTCAACGTGCCACATTCTGTGCCGGGGGATCGCTGGAGTCTGTCTGATTCATCCTCTGTGGACCTTGAATGTCTGGACAAAATGTCACTGCGATCCCGCTCAATGGATCCGGCGATGCTTCTGCCTGCGCGGTGAGGTGTGTCGTGCAAACTACCTCTAAAGTAGAAGCGGGGATTTTTTTTAATATCAAACGTTTTGCAGAGACGGATCCCTGCAGCCGGGTCATCTGCATGTTTTGTCTAGATAGAGAAGCATCCTGAAGGGATGTCAATCAGACTTAAGAACAACCAACAAGCAGGCAGTGAATGTTTCATCCGGAACGAGAACAGCATCTTTCTTCTCGCCTGAAAGCTCGGGACGGAAGAGAGCAGCCGGCGGGGGTAACGTCGGCTCGCCGCGCGCGGTCGTCAGTGCCGTTGCGTCGTGTCTCAGTGATGCACTGGAGGACGTTTCCCATCAACAATCAGCCTGAGCATCGGTCTCTTTCACCTGCAGGCCTTCATCGGTCACGGCCACAAATGTAGACCCACTGAACCCACACATTCGTTTCCTGACATTTCTCCCTCCAATCTCTTCACAACTCAGGGCCACGCGCTGGAAACCATCCCAGCGCTCAGCCAGTTATCGGCTCGGCTCCGCCCACCAAGGTTTGTCTCTAAATGAAGAGGTAAAACTAGCAATTGCAGAGCAGAGGGGCACGACGGCTCAGCACATCGCACTCCGCGCTCTATTAATTATCCCATTACGTGCTTTCATCACACCGTCCAACTACAGGGGAGGAATCTGTCTGCGTATCTTTCTGGTTTCTGCTAAATGTAGACACGAGACACAAATCCAATATTGATTAACTTTGGCTAATCATGCAAAAAGTGCTTTGTTGGCCTAACAAAGGGTGACCCTTTCCTAATGTTAAGTCAATGCAGTCCAGACCGCATGTGAATGTGCTTCTGAACCCGAGTAGCTTCCTCTTAAATGATCACGCAAATGTCTCATGAAATCAAAATCAAAATATTAAATAATTAGTAAATATATGAGTAAATATAAGCATTGAAACTTCTCAGCATTTCATTTGTCACGAGACACCAGAAACACACATTAAAATCCAAACTAACTAATTAAACGCTCTGAGAGGTAGAAGCTCTTCAGGGCAACAATTTGCACGTTGAATATTCAGTGAACGGGGAAACGGAATATGCTCTTTGCATAGGTTTGTTGTTTTAGTAATGAGTAATATCAACGCGCCTCGTCACTGAGTTTTAGACATAATGTCCACGTATTTGTCCCTCGGCCCGCTGCCCAAAAGGAACATTCAGAAACACTGTTACCAACTGGGTGTGATCTCAACGATGAGGGCGTCCTACAGACAAGGAGTGTTGATGGAAATGCATTATGGGAATTGTGAAATCTAAAAGTTTCAGGCTATTCCCAAATAACGTTACCGCTGCAGCTTCGCTATGTAGTTTGATTTAATTTTCAACATGTGACTTTCAAATGAAGAGTACCAGAAACACCTTCTGGGAAATTAACTTAAATTAACTCTGGTGTGAATTTAGCGATAAATAATTGGAGCTGCTACTACGAGGCCTGTGTGAACAACATCTTGTCCTCTGATGCTTTAATCCTCACAAGCTCAACGCGGAGAACGACACCGTGTTCTGCTACTCGGAATCAAGTCAGTCATTTTAAGGGTCACGGTGTAACTGTGTAAAAGTTGTATTTTTGATTTTTTTACTTTGTTGCTTATCTTAAGATCACGTAAGTAGCCAATCAGCTCCCTGTTAGGAGCCACTGAGCGGGTGGGGGTGGGGCTTAGGTGTGCGCGAGGCGCTGGAGGGGCATCTGGACGCTTTCCTCCACGGAAAAGACGTTTTCGCCACGGCTGTCAAACTTAAACGCATTAATCTATGCGATTAATGCGGCTTAATCTATGCGATTAATGCGGCAGCGGCCGCTAGCTGCAGTCAGTTTCATCAAGATGGAGAGAGCTTTTTGCATTGGAAGTAAAACAAACAGAGGCGCGACGTACAGCAGGGAACCGTGCAGAGGAATTACTCCACGTGTCAAACAGAAGGAGGGCGAGTGGCAAACGGACCACTGAAAGCACTGCTATGCTAAGCTAGCTGCTAGGCTGCTTCCATCTCATCTAATCCATCTAATCTTACCCTGCGCGGCAGTTGCAGGGTAACGCTAGTGGAATTCTGCCTCCAAGATGATCAAATGTGTGTAGTTTTATGTTTTAAAATAACATTAACTACTAAACAACAGTGTCTAAAATACGCGTTTCTACAGTGATTACTCGTTAATTTTAAGAATCTATTGACCGCGCTAGCTTTTGCGCTTCTCTTTACGGGCTACCGATGGAGTTTGATTGACAGGCGGTTAAGCCAATCACCCGCCACATGGTCGGGTTCGATTCAAACCTCTCTGGAGTGTTTGAGTTCATCTGCAAACGGCCGTCTGGGTTTTGTTACAGTTACACAGTGTTTTTATGAGGATTTGAAGGATTTGATTATGAGTATTCACAGCGCTTCACCTTTTCCACATTTTGTTATGTTACAGCCTTATTCCAAAATGGATTAAATTCATTTTTTTCCCCAACATTCCACAACAACCCATAATGACATGTTATGTTTTCATGTTATGTTTTCGTCTTCATTTTTAACAAATCTGCAACAATTGGCAAAAAACAGTTTTCACTTTGTCATTATGGGTTGTCAAAATGTTGAAGTGACCCTTTTTGGGGACGGAACAATGACATTTCTGTGTCGTTACGTCTGTACCGCCTGACTCTTTCTAGGTGTCACCCTCTCAGACCCGCAGAGGAATCTCTTCCACACCTCAACAGTGAACCGGCCTCCACCTCCGACCCGTCATTACGCGCTGAGAGGTCACTTTCTCCCGACTCCCACTCGCACACCGCAGCCGCGGATCGCTCACACTCGCCTCGTGCTCATACTCTGGTATTCGTATCGTAATGGAGTGCGTGGGCGTCCCGGTGACGGTCGATAACGCCGTGACTCACTGGGGCTGCGTGCAGTCCTGCAGGTTGCACATCCTGCGGATGGGTTTGGGTTTCTTGCCGGCGTCGCAGTATCCCCGGTGGACCATCTTCGTGTCCCCTTTCTTCCTGCAGCCGTACTTGGTGTACTGGAACCCTGCGAAGGAAAGACGGACTTCAGCGCCAGCGGCTTTGCGTGTTTCATACGGCAAGAACTGGATTGGAAAAACATTTTAGTGAAACCTTTTCAGACATTTAAAGTTTGTGGAATAATAAGACGGCATTATTACTTTTGAAAGTATTGAAAAGGAACTGAAGAACAAACAATAGATGCACGACTTTCCACCTTGTAATTATCTCCTGAAAATGATTGTTTCACAGTCAAATTAAACCCCCGTGGAGTTATTATGTACTTTTGAATGATGCCTCACTACAAAACACTTCATCCAAGCAAAGAATTCACGGCATCGATTGACTCCGATCGTTACGGTTCATCATTTAAACTATTATAGTCTCTGAATATCAGTGGAACAGCAGCAGCGCGACATTATGACACCAGTTTGGTTGTGGTTGCTTTGCACTGCAGGTGTTTCTACACATCGGATGATCTTAATAATGAAAGACGGAATAATTGTCACTGTGATAAAAGCTGCAGAATCGCAGGATCATTTCTGGCTGCCACAGAAAGAATATATATAAAGAATATATTTGACTGTTCTATCTGAAAAATGTTTTCATTTGAAAATTGACCAGATTCTCTCCTAATTACGCTACAATTGACTACTTTGTGTTTATCCGCCGGACCTTCAAGAGACAACATGAAAACGGTCCGTGGGGCAAAAAAAGGTTGGGGACCCCCGGTCGTATCATATGTGGGAATGATGTGAATAAAATGAGGCAGGTGTGAAACTAAACATCTAAAGCCACAGTAATTCACTGCCTCCGTCACGGGTCTGACAGCTGAATCCTTCCCGCCCATTGTTGCCCCGGGTCGACGTGATTACCTCCGGCACAGGGCTTGGAGCAGGGCGACCAGCTCTTCAGAGCCCACTCGTACGTGTCCTCCTGGATGACGTTGTTGTTGTTCACGGGCACCGAGTCCTCGTGGATGATGTATTTGTACATCAAAGTAGACCGCGTTTCATTGTCTTTGGGTATGATCTGCGAGGGAGGGGCGCAAAACAAAAACTAATTGGCATTGAAGCGAATGCAGAATGTGAACAGAGTGCAAATTTGTGCAAACGGCTGCATTGTGTTGAGTTTAATTGCGTGATAAGTGCATCCATCACGTTGCCTTTTTGCATTTGTAGTGCTGCAGAGTGTTTGAGGGAGAGATGTTTGGTTATTTCTGTATTTTTGAAGTTCATTTCACGTGACATCGTTGGCTGTGCTGCATTCCCCAAACAAAAGGCATCATGACATCATTTAATTTCTATATAAGAGATTTGATTTAGAATCGGCAAAACAAAAGTTGTAATTAAAATGTTCGTTTGGGGAAATTGACTAAACAGCGACTCCTCGGGAATATAACGTTTAATTTAACTGTGCTTTGCATTGTGAAGGTTTATTCATATCCTTCACTTGTTAACGGATTTAATGTGTGTAATTATCTCAATGATGCAACAAAGAAGCTCATGCTAAATTAGAAAATTAGAAAATTAACTTTAGTTAAAATAAATGTTTATAATCAGAAAGTTTCTAGAAAAATAAATTAGAACCGCTGGGAGAGAAAAGGTGTGTGTGTGTGTGTGTGTGTGTGTGAGACATGTATATTGTCAGCTCAAACAAAATGAAAAAGCGCCGAAGGCATAAATCAATGATGATGATCACTAGAACAGAATCAACACACATTAGAAACTCTCGTCTGCTTTAATTCATTATGCAGAGAGAAAAATGTGAAAAGTTTCCACTTAGGATTCTAAATGATTTCACGATAGAAGAAAAAATAATGAGTTGTTATTCTAAAGCATTTGGGCAGATTATGAGTAATAAGTGAATAAAGTTCTGATTGTTCATCTTATTAGCAAATGTTCTCTTTTTGAACTTGTTGATTGTTGGAAACTGCTTTTTTAAAACTGCTTAAATAACCAGTTATATTTATTAAATCTGGCTCTTGTGGGTTTTAGCTTCATCTCATCTCCATTAAAGGGGACCGAAAGACAGGGGGGGACATTACTTTGGACACTGTTTTCATCACATCTGATTAGATTAGAATCCAAACTGTGACGCATCAACTCTGTGTGTGAATTAGAGCTGTGGAAGGGGGGCATGGGGGGGGGGGGGGGGGGGGTATTACCAGGACCAGGACGGGGTCGTGCAGAGGTCCGTCCGTGTGCAGCATCTCCACCTGGTCCTCGAGGATGTAGTTCCACTCCACGCCCAAGTCGATGAAGCTCCGGGACGCCGCCTCCTCCCCCCTCCCGTTGAGGATGTAGTGCCCCGTCGCCTGGTTCTTGATCGCTGTAATCAGCCATTGTTTGGTGAGCCGGTGACAAAGAGACGCCTCTGACCGTCCTCATAGTGTCCACACGCGCGCACACAGATGAAAATAAGAAGCTCTGATCGTGCTCCCCGGTGGGTGGAAGCTGCCAAACATCTGCTGTGATGAAACGGGAGCGTTGGCCAGCGGCTTTGGACACATCCGATGCGTTTAAATGCAAATGAAGTCCAATTGGGAACATGGCTTTGTCTTTTATTTGATGTCTGGCCGACATTAACCCAACCGGACTAGTTTGAAGCTTCTTACTTTTCTACTGTTCAAGTGTTGAATCGTTCCTGCACGAGGGAAAGTCGTCGTCTCGTGCAGGAACGTTTCGTTCCGCCTTTAAAAGCTTAAGTTTCTGAGCAAGAATCAAAAGGACTTTGATTTGGCAGAAATGCAGAATTAACAGCAGGAATCCAGAAGGAGGCGCGAGTCTTTGAAGTGAGAGACGTCTTCAAAGTGATCCGCCATGTCATTGCCCAGATGATGACAGTGACGGGGGGGACGGGGGGGACGGGGGGATAAGCTACAGCAGAGGAGAGATTCCTGACGCATGAATGATCATTCATTCAACTGAATGAGAAGATGTAGATATATCTATATCTATCTATATCTATATAGATATATCTATATTGTGGAGATACTTTTACCTGAGATTCGCAGGACGGAGGGACAGAAAACCAAAAAAACCCAATGCTGTTGGATTAGTTTAAAATGTCAACAATTGATCAATAACTTTCAGCTTCTGAACATTTAAAATATTGCAAGTGAATAGAAGTTAGAATGTAATAAATGAGCGAGTTGAGTTGGTGAGTCTGAGACGCCTCCGCGTTTTCTAAATGAAAAGAGTTTGGGAGAAATTGAAATGCCTTAATTGTGGTGAATTTAAGGGGGAGGAACACAAATGGTTCCCTGCTGAGGGATGTTGGTTTATTAACCAACCGTCTTTGTATGACAACAGCTGTGCAGTTGTTCTTTATAATCTAAATTTCCTCCTTTCACAGGAAGATTAGAGGTTTATAAATATGCATGAAGAAAAGCAATCTGTGGGTTCATAATACCTCAAGCACCCACATCACAGCTCGCATTCTGTGTTTTAATCTCCTCTCTAGAATCACTTATTGGAATATTTCTATTCTTTCTTCCTTCCGTCTGTGTAACAAATAAATGTGCTTCATATGAAAAGAGAACAGTTACAATTTGATGCTCCATGAATAAATAAAGCGAATTAAGACTGAAGGAGCTGTAAATGTTCCCCGCGCAGTAATTAATGCGAGCTTCTCGCGCCGCCGTTTCTTTCCCAACGACGCTGGCTTGTGTGAACTGGGAGAGCGGGAAAGTGACGTTCCGCACCAGGCGCCGGATTACACGGGGCTTCGATGCGGCGTCATAATCCCGGAGCGGGAGAAGTGACACGGGCCAGAGGCGGCGGTCCGATCGCAGCCTAGCAACGGTTACCAGGCAGCCCGTCTCCTCACGCTGAGTCTTTGAGATACTTTCACTAAAGTCACTATTTTCATGCTACTTTAAATTTTAGATGTATTTGACATTTAACTTTCCGGCAGAAACGTTTCAAGGTTTCGGATGTGCATATTCATTCTACTATGAATACATTTGGTACATTTTGAGATCTGGACTGTTTCTCTACTTTTAACACATCTGTAAAATAATGAATTCTAAGCTATTTCTTACCCTGAATATGACTTAAACTTTAATACTTTTTAGTACCATTTTAAATGCTCTGCACTGGCAAAAGTGACATTGTAAAGTAGAAGTCAGTGACTGCAGGAGATCCTACAACGACTTTTCGATTTGTTTGGATCTCCTTCACTCCTCTAACTTCGCCCGGGCAGGAGTGTCAGATAAATAACCCGGACTAAAGGGTAGAAACAAACGTCGCCTCTGGCTGAGGCGATCGATGCTGACTCCCTCCCCCCCTGCTCCCCCCCTCCTCCCCTCCCGCCCCGGACGCTGAATAAATCATGCGCTCCTCGGGCCGCTCACGGAACCAGAGACGGACGGATCATCCGCCTCGTTCTTCCTTTAAAGGGAATAAACGTTTACTTTCCTGATGTTTCACTGTTACAGGCCGGTTGATCTTAATCGTTGTGTTCGTTCACTTACAGCAGCATGAATCACTTTCATATTCATGTCGCGTGAGATCACGGTGAACGAGACTTGCTTGGGAAAATAAATGAATGATAATTCACGTTCCTAAATAAAGAATGTTCAATTGATGAATATTTCTAGAACATTTACTGTCAGTTTACAAATTGAACTGGATGAATTCTAAATGTTCTCAATTAAAACAAGGGCAGGATTAAGGAATAAATCACATAGCAGAGCTTCAAGAAAAACTTCTTCTGTTAAAATAAAGTAGCGACTTCAAGAAAAGTGAATTTATCCCCTGCAACTTTAAATTCAGTTAATTCAGTGTGAAATCGTTCAAAAGTCATCTCCTAAAACGACACATCAGTTTGCAGGGACGTGAATCAAAGCGGTTGTCGGCGCTCGGCTCATGTTTGACGAGCTTCAGGTCTTCTACGCCCCCCCCCGCCCGCCTCCCTCCACGCTGACGCCACACGTGTGACCACCAATAAATCACTAAACGTTTACGCCAGTACGGGTGAAGATGAATGAAGACTCGATTTCTCCGCCTCAAAGGGTGACGAAGAGTAAATTATGCAACGCCTCCAATCTGTGATTCCACAGTCGAGCTTCCCGCCCGTCGCCCCGGGAGACGCGGGGGGGGGGGGAACGCCGGCGACGTCACACTTACCAAGAATGTGAGGGGAGGCCTCGTGTTCTTGGACGATCACACGTCTCGCTCCGGGAGGAATGAGAAACATCTTAAGGGAGCCTTCGCCAAGTTTGCAGCGGCGGCGGTGGCGTCGGCGGCGGCAGCGGCGGCGGCGGGCGAGCAGGGGGGTGGGGGGGTTAGGAAAGATAACAGACAGGTGAGTTCAGCAGACACGGGGGACGGTCCGTTCGTTCGCGGCGGTGGACATCACCAGAAGCCCGGCTTGCTCTACCGAAAGGTCGCCTCTGGTCCTCGCCGCCGGAGGCCTGCAGGTCGCTCGCTTTCCGAAACGGGCCGCGCGTTCGCATCCAACCACCCCCCCAACGTGGCCCGCGAACGGGGGGGGGCCTTTCGGCGGACGATGCGAACGCCTCCGGGCCGCGTTTTGAGGAGGCGCAAGCGGACTAGTGGGCGGCAGGAAGCTCTTCTGTCGCGGATGTCCACCGCTCGCAAAAAAACCCCACCGGGACTCACCCAGCGTGTTTCTAGAGTCCTCGGTTTCATTCAAAAACACATTGCGTGCTCCTTTGGGCAGAGAGAAGGCTCCTCTGGTCTTCCCTTCAAGAGAAAATGAGCGTTAGTTTGGTCTCGGGGGAGTTTTTCCTCCCCCAGTATCACTGCAACGACACCACCTACAGCAGGAAGCACATTGGACCAGCGGAGCGCCGCGTCAGGAGGCCGACTACTGGTACGCACGGCGATCGCCGGCACTGAGCTGCGGCGCCGAAAACGTCCTCTCGCTTTGGACGAAACCTTTTATGAAACCACGAGCGGCGGCACTGGAAGCAGCCGCTTGGACCCAAGCGGGACGCTCGGAGCGCCGCCGACGGGTCGCCCAATCGGGTGGTAAAGAGCCCAACAAGGGGGCCCTGCGGGGAGGTTTAAACGGGACATTTCTGACGTTGAAGTTAGTTTGTTAGGCCGTTGAAGCGATTTGCATGAAGTAGCCACACACACATAAAGAGACGATCACTTCTAGAGACACAATAAACAATAAACAACGGGACAGCGGACTCTTAATTAGTGAGAAGGAACAGAGGGGAGAGCAGCTTTACGGCGTTATGCATCCATCGCCACTACAAGCTGCACAGAGGGGGGGGAGGGGGGGGGCGCTGGATACTTGCATATTGTGTCTTCCAACAAAGGGGTTTCTTTTTGGGCTCTCTTGCTTAACTGTTTCCCTGTTGGAGAGTTAAGAGAAGAAGGAATGATCACAGCCCCGACAAGACTGTCGGCCTCGCGGGCTCCGGCTTCTCTCTACGTCCTGAGGCTCTCTGTCGCCTCGTCGCCGTCGCGCCGCTCGGACGTCCGGCGTCCCGGAGGTCGGAAAGTCCGGAAACCGGGGGCCGAGTGGACGGGGTTGTTTTCCCCCCCGTGATCGGTCAACGTGGAGACTGGATTAAACAAATGAAGCCGACCACTCAAGTCGCGCTGGAGCAGCTTAACACTGCAGTGTGTTCGACCAGCAGCCCCCCCCTGCTTGTGTGTGTGCGTGTGCGTGTGTGTTTGCGTGTGCGTGTGCTCCTCCGCGGCTGCAGAGGGGAGATAACCGAGGAAGCGTCGCTGGGTGAGCTCACTATTATGAATTTATAAATTGAAAATCCATATCTGTATTAAAGAAAACATTCATTGCGTCTCTGCCGGGCAATAAGCGTCTGTAGGTGACACATGTCAGACGCCCCCCCAACACACACACACACACACGCTCATTTACACGCTGTTGTGGGTGCAAATTGAAATAGAGATGTGAATGGGAGTGACACGGAGGTCACGTGACGGCCTTCTACCAACACACCTGGGCTGGAATGGTGAGGCCGGGCCGCACAGGTTCACTGCTGGGGGAGTGACGTCAGCGCATCCAACCGCGCTCGACAAAAGCCATTTTCGCTTTTCAAGCCTACCTCGGGATTAATTATGAAAGGAGGGGGGTGCCGAGAATGGGCTGAATGGTCGGCTAATGGCGTCCTCAACGTAGCGAAACGCCACACGGCCGCTTATTGTTCGGTGTGGCCACATGCAGAGAAAACCGTGTGAGGTCCATTGGAGGTTCTCTATTCAAACATCCACAGCAATGAATCGTCTGGCAGAGCGGGGGGGGGGGGGGGGGTTCTGCAGACGTGGCGCTCGGGCTCCGCGTGCTCTTACCGGGTTTCTTCGGCGCTCGGGTGAAGCTGCCTTTGACGGTGCGACAGTGAGAGTTGTCGCCGCCGCAGACGCCGCACCTGTCCTCCGCTTTGCTGGAGCCGATCTCTCTGTCGCAGCCGACTTTCTGGGGGCCGAGAGGAACGACGGCAGAGGTCAGCTGACCGGTGTCAGAATGTAATTAATGTGCGTCGACCGACGAATAAAATATTAAATGGACTCGGTTTCCGTAGCGACAGCAGGAGCTTCTTTACAGGGGGGAAAGTAACTGGAGTTCATTGACAAGTGATGCTTATCAATTAAATAGTTTTAATTAAATTCTGCGCTCCTCACTTTTTGAATGCATGCATTTCAGTTGGTGCTGCTCTGTTTTGCACCTTTTTGTACCTGTTTTCTGGAGTACAAAGTCCTTAAGTAGAAGGACAGCAGACTTTGTACTCTCGGGACTTTCGATATGTGGAAATAGTTTGAACTCCTACCAAACATTCCCCGCGTGCGCAGATGCTGTAGGCGTCTTTGTAGGAGCACCGCGTCCCATCGTGCACCAGCTGCTTCATGTACGCCACGTCTCCGCTCTCCTTCGACTGGCAGTACAAGTGGCATCTCTTGCTGGCTGCAAGTCAACGGATTGTTAGACGGCTGCAGGATTATTAGGAAGACAACCGTGGCCCTAGTAACGAAAACAAAAAAGGGCCCATGTTTGAACGGCGTCGTCGTTCTTCATCCGTTAAATGATTAAACAATAACCCCATTGAAGGAAATCTGTGACGCGTCGTTATTGAGAACGACCTCGTTTGAAACTACATGGATCTCAACTGACATGGAAAGCGTCCATGAGCGGCGTATCTGGCGGATGGCACATCCACAGCCGAGTATTTACTTTGATGTACCGACACGCTCTTCCTCGTCGAAAAAAAGCCCCCCCCCCCCGCCTCGCCTCCCCGCCAGCTTCCCAGCGGCTTCTCCTGCTTCTTTTCTGAACTGACTGACTGTGCAAAAGTCGACCAATTAAGGAGCAGCGAGCGGCCAAACGGCCCCGCGGAGCGAGAGCGAGGCGAGGAGCGTTCTTATCACAGCGGCCGTGCAGGGGGGAGGGGGGGGACGGACACAGAACACAGCTGAGGAAGTTGACTTTGATTGTTTTGCCCCCCCCCCCTCTCTCGTCTGGCTCACCGTCGGGATGCTCGTAGGGCAGCCAGTGGTGTTTGGCGTTCTGGAACTCGAAGTGGGAGTTGCGGAGTTGGCACTGCTGCGCCCGGAAGTCTTCGTAGTGCTTGGGGCAGTCGTCGGCGTTGCACAGCGCGGCCTCGTAGTTCAGCCCCGGGCAGTCCTGGCCCCCGTTGGAGGGCCTGCGGGAGCGAGACGGACGCAGGTCACAGCCGGTCTTTTCTTTGAAACTCAGAATGAGACTCCCGCTCGAAAAAGAACGCTGTGAAACTCGGACAGAAAGCTGTGTCGCTCCTCCAACTCGACGACGACACAGCTGGACGCACAACTCACGGCGGGCTGCTGCACTGCCGCGTCCTGAAGCGGACTCCGGTTCCACAGGAGCGCGAGCAGGAGCCATACTTGCTCCAGGAGCCCCAGGCGCCGTCCTGCTTGACCTGATTAGGGTTCTTCCACATGCAGTGACCTTTGTAGCACCACTGCAGAGGAGGACGGGAGAACATCAGGACGCCGCTTCCCATTTTCGGCACGAGTTATTATATCATCACAGCGTCGATGCCGGCGAGCCAATCAGGCGTCGCCGCGTTATCAGGGCACAAGATGTAACTGACCTTTCCCGGGTTGCACTCGGTCCCGTCCAGCGGGGGCCCCTTCTTGGTTTTGCAGAAGTACGGGTTGTCCGGGTGGCTGCACCACAGCTGCTTGCACGGGTCGAAGGTGCGGAACTGGAACGCGGAGGAGAAAAAATCGTCACGTCACGGACGCCCGGGGGACGACGGCGAAAAAACACCACCGTGACCCCGCCCCCCCCGCCCCCCCGCCGGGAAGGCAGGCGTTGACATTTCCAGGGATTTACTCTGCGTCTCATCCCCGCTTTTCAAAACGGAAATTGGACTTGACATTCAAAAAGTGCCGACAATAACAAGGACACCGTTATCCAGGCTGCACCGATGCCACCGGGGCTCAGAGTGCGTCAAATAAGAGGCGAGTCACACAGGAAACGGCTTTCCAGGTATTGCTGAGGCAGAGTGTGTGTGTGTGTGTGTGTGTGTGTGTGCGCCCGCTGACCCCCCGCAGACCTAAACGCCGTCTAAGTGTTACAGGCTCCACTATCAGCCGCCGAAGCCCAGTGGATTACCCAGCATTCCTCGGGAGCAGCTTATTGTTAGCCTCGCCTTCGGGGAGATGCTCTTTCTGAGCAACAGAAGCCAGAGATGGCGTTTTTTTTTTTTTGTTGTTGTTTTTTTAACGCTCGAAGCGTCGCTCTGCGAACAACAACAGCCTCGAATTACTTCTCTGACCCGTCTGCATCACTTCTGCACTCAGCACTTTCTCATCGCTTTCACCAACAACTGCAAAGGACTTCTTCCATGGCTTTAAGATCTCCCTACTTCCACATGAGCTCTGACTTTAAGTGTGCGCTTGGCATTAAAATGTTTTATTTTAACGGTCCCCATCTTTACGTTATTGCTTTGCTCATTTCTGACTTTGCATCCTCATTGTCTCGAGACACGATGTGACACTCGTCGCTGCATCGCCTCCACCTGCACGGATTACTCAACGACCTTCATGCTGAATAGGTTATGGTGAGGGGCCCTGGACACACACACACACACACACACACACAACCTTCCAGTGTGTGTGTGTGTGTGATGTCATCACATCTTATGTCCGTGGTGTTCATGAGCGGATTATAGACGGGGGAAAAAAACGACCAATCAGCTGCTCAGCGTCCTCATCTGGTCACAATGGAGGTTTGAGTGACAAGAACTCCACAATTACCACCAGGTATCAAATATCCAATCAGCCGCCCGCCCCAATTCAAAATGTTGAACTTAAATTCAATCTAAGATCTTAGTCAGCTTTGTCATCAATGTTCAGGCTTAGTCGAATAACTTCTTCTTCCACTTCATCGGAATCAGAATCACCGTCTCACCGAGGTGCAGATCTTGTAGCCGACGCCGAAGTCGAAGCGGCACTGCTCGTCCATGGAGTAGTTGATGCCGGGCAGCTCGGGCAGCTGAGGCCAGTCGTGCTTGAAGGGGTCGTCCAGCAGGCAGTCGTAGGTGCTGCGGGGGGGGGGCAGAAGGTCAACGGGCTGCAGAGAAGGTCAACAGGCCCCCCCCCATCCGAGGTTTTAATGAACCAAGACTCACCTGATGTATCTCTTCAGCTCCCGGCCGCTGCACATGGACCAGTGGTACCGGTGGAAGGCCGCCTGCACCAGCGGCGCCATCACGCTGCCCATCGCCGTCTCGTCCCCGCAGCGGTTGCCTTGGCCGTCGTGCTCCATGCCCAGCCTGTGGCCCGGGAGACACCGGTCAGACGTTCACAGAGCGCCGGGGAAGGCGGCGTGGGGCCTAACGGGTTAAAAAGTGGTCGTTCCTCTCCGGTTTCCGGAGGGACGTCTCGGGGAGTTTGACTCAGTGGACTCAAAACACAATCTTTCAAAAGGACGAGGAGACTTCTGGTTCTCCGCATGTGTTGTTGTAAAAGAGAATGTGTAACTGAGATCAATACTGGACAATTTTGGCAGGCGGGAGCATTTCCTCTGTGTTAAAAAAGGCTTCACATGGATTTAAGAAGACGAGACCTGCAGATGAAGTATTTATGGATTGATTCCGAAGAGAACTGCGGTTTGTGATGTTCATGTATCGACGTGCACACAGTGCTGACATCTGGGTTCCAGACAAATAAACATTTTCTCTTTTAGAACAATGATTGGACGCAGCTAAAAGTGAGCTTAGAGAGTCAATAATGCAACTTTTATGCTGCGAACACCGAATCCTACATCGCCATGTTGTGCATTGTGTAAGAAAAAACCTGAGTTCAGATCAATGAATAAGGAAATAATGGCGGGAACGCCCCCCCCCCCTCGATAAAGGACGCCCTGCTCCGAGCAGACGGTCGCGTTCGGCGAGCATCAGTAATTACTCGTGTCGGCACAGGAGGCGTCAATGCGCTCCGGCGTCACCAGCAAACTACAATTAAGTTATTCCTGGAGCGGCGCGATGTGTCAGAACCGCTGTGGTATCTGGTAGCCCCCCCCCGCCCCCCCAGCCGGAAGGAAACCGCCTTCTTACTCAGACAGTTTGACTTCGTGGGCTGAAATAAAAGGAACGTCTTAACGTGTCATTTATGCGACGCTTTTATCCAAAGCAACGTTCTCTCTTCACAGCGAAAGCGCTCATTCGACGTGCCGTAAAGGGCCTTCAGCTTTAAGGGGACACTGTCTTGTCCCCTGAAGGCCACCGTAGTTCATTAACTAGATCGACTTCATGGTGTCACATAAAGCGCTGACGGATCGACCCGCCTCCCGACGCACAAAGTGTCTCCTCCGTGTCTCCTCCCCTCCAATGTGACTCCTGCTGAGATCATCCGAGGAGCCTCCGTGGACACAGACAGACGGACGGACACTGTAACACGATCAAGACGTTCTGCGTTCGCCCTTCAAAGGTTCACGTCGCCTTAAACGAGGAGACGCGTGACAGTGTTTTAGGTCTGTGACACCAGTCGGGCCTCCTCTCACCTGCAGCCACACAGACCTTCATGTTCAATAAGTGTTATTCACGAAGAAACCCTTTGAATGGGAATCATCAGAGCAGAGCTCAAACATCCGCACACTTAAGTGCACGCGGCCCTGATGAAGGTCCTACACGATGACGCTAAAAATAAAGGTCACAGAGAAATAAATCGAAAAAGAAACGAAAGTCTTCTTCAAAGTGAAGAACATGGAACATGTATATATATATATATATATATATCTTTTCCTCCAGCATCCATTTACAGCATATAAAACAACATAAATAAAGCAAACGTTTTTCTCCCAAAATGAGGAAATTGTAATTATATAAGAGAGCACTGAATAAGAAGGCTGCCATCCTCATGAAGTCCTCAACCCCTCCACCTCCTCAACAATCGCATTCATCAGCGGAAAAAAGGCAGCGGGTTCGGCCCAATCAGAGGCGGCGCCGAGTCGGAATGTGGGCAGAAAGGAATCAATCAACTACACAAATTAACACGCGATGTGGGGAGAGGTCGCTTCGACGTGCCGGAGGCTAAAACCTGGCGTACTTTACGCAACACTTATTATTAAGCATCTCAGTAATCAGTGATGTACATTTAACGCTGGTAGTTATCGTCCCGTTATGAGAACGTGGCAGCGGGTGAATGTAGAGAGCCCACGGCAGCAACGAGGGACGGCGACACCGGAGTGAGGAAGGAAGGAAACCTACACGTGTCCGGTCTCGTGAGCCACGACGAAGGCCGAGGAGAAGCCGTCCTCGTGGTTGAGGGTGCAGCTCCGCACCGGGTGGCACATCCCCGTGACCGGAGCGTAACCTGAAGGGGACGCCAGGAGAGAGGAGGTTAGACGAGGCGGTTGCTAAGGAAACCCGGAGGGCGGGTGGAGACACGAAGGTATTTTATTTTTCACGGCTGCTTCGTTCAAATGGCACCAAGCGGCAGGCGCATCCGCCGCTTCACAGTGAGCCCCATTGATCCCGTAAATCATCATTCCGCTTCCTGTGTCTGGAGTTCAAATGTAAAAGGGCCGACTGCTTCATGCTCATCGCTGCCTCAGACCGCAGCGACTCCTGATGCCGTATGATTTCCCCAGAGTGCGATGCATCCTGGGAACTGATTGGCGAACCTCTCGGTCGGGAATGTTGCCGGCCTTGAATCTACGTCGTCTTTTTCCATCAATTGCCCCGTCTGAAGCTTCCATTCGCGGGGGGGTGGGTGGGGGAGCGAGCGGCTCCCCCGGGACGCCGCGGCCTTAATTAAAGCGTTGGGCCAGCGGCCGACGTGGAGGTGGAGAGGGATCAACTCTTATCCGGCCTCCAGATCACAGGTAGACAAAGGATACGTGTCGCTGAAAGTGTGAAATACGAGGTTTCGGAGTGGAAATCATGTCGGTCTTTATCCAACTCAACAATGGTGCTTAAAAGTTTAGCAGTCCGGAGTTTTAGGCTCATTCGATTCTTAAAATTCTATTTTTCGAAGTTCATTTTTTTGTGCGTAAGTCCTTTGAAGAACAGTCCTATTCACAGCAACAGTGCAGCATCTCCGTATGTCGCCAGGAGAAAAAGCCCAGCGGGGATCGTAGTTCACCCCACCACTCATTTCACAGGTAAACTTGGACATTGTCCCAAAGTGCATTTCTGCAAAGAGGGAGAAAGACCTGCAGTCGATTTACTTTTCTAATCCACCCTTAGCTTCTAATGAAAAAGCCGGATCAATTTTCGTTGCTGGATGACTTTAAAGACTTATTTCTTCACACATTCAAAAATCCATTTCTAAAGACGCCTTTTCCCCCCACAGAAGGAAAACGCTCGCCGCGCTACAGAGAAAGCAGCGCTGTTCCTAATGGTTATTGCACATTTAAGGAGGTAATAACAGGTACGGTTGAGCTGGAGCGAAGCTGCAAATGCGTCTTCGCTCAGAGGGCTTGGCTGGCACAGCAGAGGTGAAGGGTATTGGAAGTTAACCCCCTGCCCGTGTGCGCCGGCAGACCCGCTGAAGCGAACCGCGAGGAAAAAAAGCTCCGGCGTAATGCGGCGGAAATAGGTTTCCTTGTTTCTTGCGCCGTCTGAGCGGATGAGATTTACTATTTAGGGAACTATTCCATCTTTGCCATTAACAGATCCCATCGACCTCTTAATGCCCGTTCACTGTCCGTGGGGGTGGGGGGGGGGGCATTCGGGTCGATTGCTTTGTTGGTTTTCCCGCCTGTGGAAATGATTCAATCAAACGATGTGTCACACTCCAGCAGGAAGGCTTAATGGCGCCGGGCTTATCGAAAATACAACAAAGGCTCAAGGGATCGTCTGCAGGGTTGTGGTCGTAAGATGCTGGAGGGGTGATTGCTGGCTTTCCCTGGATGTGTGCGCCCCCCCCCTCCGTCTCTCCCCCACGGACTGCGTTCATATAATTCCACCTTTGATTAGCGGGGTCCTACGGGAAGCCACGAAGCCAATCGCGTCTCGGCGCCATGAGGGGGATGGTGTTATTTGATGGATTTTCCGCCGGGCGGCATTCCTCCGAGCTGATGCAGCAGAGCGAAGGTGAGCAAGCGGCCGTGGGGTTTCTCTCCATTGTTGCGGAGTATTTGCTTGACGCGCCGTCGGGATAACAGGCACTTTTCTTCTCCCCTGTGGCTTTGTGTGTTTTTTTTCCTCGCACAGATACAAAAGAAAAGTTTAGTAAGGAAACTCCGAACCAACCGCGTCGTCTCTGGTGTCCTTCGGTCCGTTGCTACGCGACGGGATGAGACCACGCCGATGCGTGTAAAATTACAATACATCACGGGTCAGCCGTGGGGTTTCTCTCCATTGACATTTTACACATTAAAATCTATCTGTGATGTTTGAAAAGCAAATACGGGTGATGATAATAATACATATACGGCTACAGGTGAAGTGATATATTCAGTCATTCCTTTGGCTCAATGAAAAAGGTCAAATATGGATTTGACTGACAGTGTTAAATTATATTATTGAGATATTGTGACAACCCAGTGCACTTTATTTTATCCTTCAATAAAAAGGAGAGAAAGTTCATAGATATAATTAAAAAATATTATTATTTTTTTTTATCCCCGAAAATCATATTGTCATCAAAACGTCGCAGTTGAGTGACTCGCAGCAGCGTCGAGGTATCGCTCCCCTCGGTGTGGATAATGAACCGTATTAATGCTAAAGATCCACTGCGAGGTCAAACGAGGTCAAAGGAGGTACGGCGCCCATGCCAGGTGAAAGGTCGACAGCCGGCAGAGCCGAGTCAGCAGATCCCGTTCTCCGGGAGTCTGAGCCGCCACCTCCAGGTTGCGGCTCTCACATACTGTATAGAACATACTGTATAATATTAATATATATATAATACATTCTACTTGGCTTTAAATATAATTAGTAATTACACTTTCCACTGCTGGGGAAAACCTGCTGAGAAGGAGAATCATCGGGATTGATAACACAAAACTTTAGCAAGCGTTGTCTGTTACTTTGAATTAGCCGATCAGCCAAATGTGCGAATGGTACGAGGCATCGAGCAGGTGGAATGGCCCTTTAATTGCATCCATTCCCTGCAGCGTGTTCACGCCCGACATCCACCACAAACACCATTATTACCCACATCGCTGCTGGTATTATCATCACTATTCTATTATGTCCCTCGCTGCCGTTATCATCCTCACTACGGCAGAATCTCCATCATTATCCTGCTAACCGCAGACATGTTACGCAATCATTTACGGCACGTTTGAATGAGGTCGTTGCTGCTTCTCAGGTTTCTTCCTATTGGTCCATTTGTTTGGATGAAATGGTTTGTAAAAACCAATCTGCCACGAGGCGAGAGGGGGGGGTCGCTTGTATCGGGTGTCTTACCCTGCATCCCCGTCGGCCCGAAGCCTTGGCGAGTCAGGAAGATGGCGTGGTCGTGGTGCTCGGCGTGCTCCGAGTCGCTCTTCTGCTGCACGAAGGCCCATCGGCAGACGTTCTCCAGGCTGCGGGACGGGTTCCCCCTCTCGATGAGGCTGATGGACTGACAGAGGGGGGGGGGGGAAGCAACGCGTTAGTATTCTGTCAGCGGACCACACTGACATGGAGACTCGCCGACTCGCCGCTGACTTGGTGGCGTTGGAGCGGTTGGGAGGGGTGGGAGGGGTCACAGTCTTTTGTGGTCGCAGAGGGAGAAGCGGAGAAGAGAAGCTCGTGAGGCTGAAACGCTGCCAGACGGCGAGCTGACCCCAGACCTGTTTACACGCAGCGTGGAGGTGGAACCCACCAGGTTACGTATAGTAAGTATATAAACATTTATGTAGAGTTGACACACAGCGGCAGTGCTGCCTCTGCTGCTAATTATTCGGTCCGTGTGGTTCTCGTCACGGTTTGGGTTCACGTCCTGTCTTATTTTGTAGTTTTCTGCCACTCGTGTCCCCGGGTGACTTCACTTCCTGCCTTGTCCTGTCATCCCTTGTGATTGTCTGATCGTTTCCACCTGTGTCCAATCACCTGCACCTCCCTTGTGTATTAAAGCCGTGTGTCTCTTGTGTCACAGGTCGCGTCATTGTGTATCGTCCTGGATGTCTCCAGGTGATTGGACACAGGTGAAAACGATCAGACAATCACAGGGGATGACAGGACAAGGCAGGAAGTGAAGTCACCCGGGGACACGAGTGGCAGAAAACTACAAAATAAGACAGGACGTGAACCCAACCGGGACAGTTCTTAATAGAAAAGGTGTTGATAAATATTGTGAATATGCTGAATGTGTCTGTTTTTCATTATTGTGAACGTCACATGACATCGTTGGTCTTGCGTCTTGCTTCCTTTTCTTTCTTTTTTCTCCACCAAGGTCAAAATAAATGTTCCAGCACCCCCCTCCCCCTCACATTCCTTCAGGTGGAGGGTGAAGCTCACCTTGGCGTAGCCCAGCATGATCATCCTCACCAGCACCACGTTGATGTGGACGCCCAGCGACTCGTCGTGGTAGATCTCGTTCACCTGGGGGGGGGGGAGCAGGTCAGAGGTCGCTCAAAGGTCAGCGGCTCACACAAATAACGTTTATTTTTAGGCTTCCGCACCACTGACGCACCGCCCCCCCCCCCCCCCCCCGGCTTAATAATTACATGCTCCTACATCTTTACTCCTCAGAAGAAGTGAGGAAGAAAAAACACCAACATCCTTTGCAAATCCCTCCCTGAAGGACTGTAATCAGAGGCCTGTGCCACCGCTAATTTGTGGCGTCCTGAAAGAGGCGGCGAACGCCGCGAGGAGGAGTTTACGCCCGGAGAAAGAACCAAGTAAATACGTTTTTGAATGAAGGGAGCGCTTGGTTTCTTATGCATACGTTAGGGTCATAAGCCATGAAACATTTCCCCTCTGAAACCTCAAAGTTTTCTGGTAAACAGCCCAAGAACGCAGCGCTAATCAACGGCTTGATATTTCAATGGATAAACACAGTTTAAAATCACAGGTCACGTAAAAGCTCAGACCAACCGTCACGAAGAAGAAGAAGAGGAAGAAGAAGAAGATGAGGAAGATGATGATGAAGAATTTCGACTGCGCTGGGATCCCTAATCAGCCTCATGGATTAACCCCCCCCCTCCGTCCCGCCCCCTCCACGGGTTCTCGCTACATGGTAAAATGTTAAATGACTCAACGTGCGCCGTTCTCATCCAGGACCAGATTCTAATCGTCCTTCATTTTTCACTTAATCTCCTTATGAAAATGGAGCCAAGACCGCGGTACACTTGTCCGTATCCTAATGTAAAACACGAGGAGGATCGGGGACGCCGGTAAGCAGGGGTTGCGTGTGCTTGGACGTGATTGGACGTTGGAGCCAACTGGAGGCAGCTGATGAACGAGGTCGTCGCGGTGAAACATGAATGGAAGCGTCGCCGCCTGAAGCTCCAGTCACGTATTTCTCAGATCCCGATGCGTTTATAATGACTACATCTTGGTAATAGTTTTATACGTTAGCGATTATGACCCGTCATGTCACTTATTACACGGCTACTTACTAAAGAAATTAAATATTTAACACAAAACAAGAATCTTATTGAGTTGAGACTGATATTATTGCAGAAAATGGTCCTCTGGCTGGTGTGAAATTCATATTCAAACAACAGATAATAATTCTTATAATAGTCCAATCAGAACGACGTATGAAGAGTCGTTATTTAAAGTAGTAACGATGACTTCATGAGTTCATGGGGAATATTGAAGCAGTGAAAGATGTTGTTGTTGTTGTTTCCTGTCGGGACGACAAATCGAGAACCGCGGCGCTACGTAGAACCGTTACTGTTGTTGCTACTTTCTATTTTTCCTTCGGAGCAAAACGGGAACACAGACTGCAGGTTGTCGTGCAACTCTAACCACGGCAGGAAATAAGTCCTGGCGGGGGTCAGAAAACCCTCGGTCGCCATGGAAACGGAGTGAACGGCTTACGGAAATAAGGCAAATTTCCTTTTTTCAGGCCGACTGATTATCCCATTGTGTGGCTCTGCAGACATTCAAAAAACATGGATTTATTGACAGCTGACCTTTAACGGGCCCAGCGTGTGTGCGCGTGTCGGCCGCACATTGAGCACCAATCACAAGCCCCCCCGACACCCCCCCCCCCCCCCCCAACAGCGTTCATGCAGAGCAGAGCGGCGTCGCAGTGGGATTCATCTTCTTTGGGCCGATGATTCCTCACTGAGTTCATCCGCCTCATTACGCGATGTTTCCGTGTTTCCACAGAGGGGGGGCGTTGGGGGGCGTTGGGGGGCGTTGGGGGGAAACATACTCCAGCAGCGTGTGACCACGTGCTCAATTGTCCTCAGATTACCGCGTTGGGACTCCTCGGAGGCGTCCACAGATTCCATCGCTCGCCACTTCGGTGCTTTGTTTTGAAAAGAGAAGAAGGCCGAACGCCGCCGATGCCGAAGTGACTCAATTGCTGGTCAGTGGGATCCAAAAGTACAGAGTGAAGACTTTAAATGTCGTCCAGACATAATTGAGTTAAATGTAATATAAAACCTCCACATTTTTGCATTAAAATGACTTTTACCAAAAGCTGGTGTCAATGGATCGTCGTCCTCCTCTAAAGCTGCGGAGACATTAGAAGACGTCCCGCTCTACTATCGGCTTGACATGGCGGCGGCGTTTTTTTCCCGCTTAAGGGAAATATTGACGCGCGGCATTCGATTAGATTTCAGACAGAAGTGAGCTTCCAGCTTTGTGGTCGACGGCCTTTTGGCGCTCGGACCCGCCGACGCCTGCGTGTGAGAACACATGAAGAAATGCGTTCTCGGGTCTGCGTTGAAGGACTACAGAGGCCTGGACAGAGTCCAAAGCCAGAACCCATCCAGCGCCGTTGGGACGAGGCGGGAACGCCGACTGGGAGCCAGGTCCCATCAACAAACAGACGCCTTCGGACCTCTGTGACGCCGCTGTGGCCGAGTTGGTGGGGGAAGGAATCTCCGCCCCCGGGTTCCGACGTTTGATGGAGAGGGTGGAGGCTGGTGAAGCCTGCGTTGACCTCTTGTGTTGTTCTGTGCTTGGATCGCACCATCCGACGCAGTAGAACGCAGCAGCACCCAAAGTGCATTTCAAAAACAACCCAAGCGGTCATACAGGTCAATGTAAATGTTGCTGCAGTACCGGCGTGTCACCAACAGAGGTCCACAAAGGTCACGCTTTATGCATGTAAGTATTAATGAAACTAAAAGTAATGTGATATGTGCAGCTTCTGCTATTTTGACTTTGATGATCTCAACCAATGAAACTCGTACATGAACACAAACTGCGTCTTTGTCTTCCTCAGTTTGGCGAAGGGCGAAGTTGCTCGCCTTCTCCAACAGGCCCGAGGCGGTCGCAGTTGATTGGACCTCACGTAACCTCGGATTGGAGCGATTCCTTGTGCAGCGGCTTGCACCGGAGATGATGTTGACCTTTGACACCCCGAGGGGGGAAAACTGAAGCCTGGCGGCTGGCAGCTCGGATCTGACGTGTCATAAAGACTCGTTAAAGACAAAGTCGAGGGAACCCCTTCTCATCTCATTTACCACAACGGCGACCGACTAACCATGTCAACACACAGTGTGTCCGTGGGAGCTACACACACAACAACAACAAACGCACTCATTAGCGCCGTGCAGCTCATTAAATGTCACGATCAGTTACGGTGTCTCTCCGGAGGACGGACGAGTCGAGGCTCTTGGTTGAGGAGAAGAAACCTTTAGTTTTCTGGACTAGAGTTTGCCGCCAGCGGAAAGGTCGGCATCACCCGGCATATACATATATATATCTATATTTTTCTGGTCTTCCAACCACGTAAAGCTCCTTCACACTCCATGTGATCAACAGGACGGAGGAGAGCATCTCATCCACACAGCTTCTCACATGGATATCAATACAGATTCAGTACAGAAGAGAAAGTGTGCGACTCACGATGTTCATGAGCGTGAGGAGGTAGTTCTGCACGTGCTCCTTTCCGTGAAAGCGAACCACCGAGTCGTCGACCCCCAGCAGGATTTCGATGTTGTAGTCGTCCTCTCCGGCGTCTCGGCGGCGGCGGCGGCGGCGGGCGGTCTCGTTGACCCGCCGGGCCACAGAGTCCAGGGCGGCGGGTACGTGCAGCTCTGTACGGGGCGACAGCGTGACAATGTGAGACAACGGGAGGAGAGGCTGCTGATCCTCTGAGACGTTCGCAGACAGTGGAGCCGTCAGGACGCTGAATCCATATTAATGAGAGTCTCGTAGCTGCAGATCTTGTCGGAAACTGCCAAAAGTTTTATTTTTTATATATTGTCGATGACAGCGAAACAAACCACTCAAGCCTTCGCAGAAATAACAACAATGAGAAATGGATTTGCTGCATTTCGCCGTCGCATATCGTTATATCTCTAAACTTCTTCTGAGGCTGACATTTGGGGCTTTGGAAAACGGTGAAGGCCATTTATTTCCACTACTTTATGACATTTAATCGACTCAATTATTGACCAAAAAACAAATCCAACAAGTTGGATGACAAATCAATGGTTGATGATAGATTTCCTATTTTGCTGCAGTATTTTCATTGAGCCAGAGTTGCACAAAACCACCAGTATGGTCATTCAAACTTATATTATTCAATTCATACCCTTGAAATTGAAGCATTTTGCATTTGTATGCGTTTCATAAGCGTCTTTCATCTGCATGTAACTGAGAGACGATGTTCAGTAGCACCAGAGAAACGCTCCCTGTGACGGCACAAAACGTGCACAATATGTCGTGTCTGCACGAAATTATGGAAATAACCCTACGCACGCACAGGACCTCCTGAGTGAATCACCAGAGGCCGCCTTAATCGCTGCATTTAAAAAAATCGACTTTGCGTCTACGTGGTTTGAATCTGTAACGCGTCAAACAAGGACACTTGGTCTAAAAATCTCATCCCGCTAACGAAGCCGCCGTCATCCCTCAGCCGCGGTTAAGTTAAATCAGAAGCACACCGTGGTGCCGAAAATAGACCGATCCTTCATTCGAGAGACGCCGAACCGGAAGAAATGAGTTCAGGCTCCAGCGGCGCCGCGAACAACGTGCGCGTGGAATCACAAGCAGCTCGCGAGGTAAAGATGCTCCGAGGGGCTCCCGTCCTGCCGTGGATGGATGTGGGGAAGGGGGAGTGGGGAGAAGGGTGTGGGTGAGGGAGGGGGGGAGGTCAAGCGGTAACCTTCCCTCGTGCTCCAACCAGTTAGGATCAAACGGGGGGGGGGCCACTCTGAGCATCGAGTGGGCCGAAGGTGGAGACCTGCAGGCGTCTGGAGGAGGAACGACTGATCGCACGTTTCCTCCCCGTTGGGATGCGCTGGAAAAAATACCCAAGTCATAAATAAAAGCGGAGGCCATTTTTTCTTTTTTGCAGGGATGCTCGGAGCCGCAGACAGGCCGCTGATTGAGGGGGGGGGGGCACGAATAAATAGCACCTCAGCTGTGGCCCGACTCCCACACTGTCGGGATTGTGGAGCGCATTCCTCTTCCTCCGTCGCCCCCGCGGTGACACAGGCATTCATGTCCAGCCCGACACCCCCACCTCAACCCCCCCACCTCCCCCCCACCCGAGTAAACAGGCCTTCTAAAAGGCACCTACTTCAAACGCAACAGGACGTCCCCTCAGCGGCGCTCCTTAAGACCGCTAGTGTGCTTCAGGCAGGGGCCAGACCCCCCCTCACTACGTCCGTCCTCCACCAGCACCAAGGGAGCCCCACCGTGCAGCCCAGGAGGTGGGGGGGGGGGGGGGGGCGTCTGCCCACGCATGGCACCGAGCACTACAAGGTGGCACCGAGGCCGCAGGCTATAAAGGGCCCGAGGGGGCGGGGACTTGAGCCCCCCCTTGCCCCCCTCGAACGGAGTGGAAATCTACTGCCTCTGCTGTGACGCCGTTGATGTCCACAGAAGGGACGCAGAGCCCAAATCAACCGTTTGTTTGTTCAGATCCACACGGGACTTTTTCCTCACGAGGACGAGACATTTTTCATTTCAAATGTTGAAACGTCCTGGAGGGAAGAATAGGTTCATTACTGGAAAAATGCCCAACTAGTATTCAGTGGTTTACGGCGACAGAAAGCATTAAAATATGGGCTGTATTCCTTTTATCGGCGGGATTGGCCCCAGATACTGTACCTCCCCCGCATGAAAGGATACGGAAACAAGCATCTAATGTGGCCCCCGAAAGGAAAACTCCTCCATGAGCTGCATGTCAGTTGCCTCGTATCAGATGAAATAGTCCCGTCTCAATGAAATGCAGATGTTAGGTTGGACAAAAGATGTAGCTGCTCAGTTTTACAAACCTCTCGAGCAACGAGGGAACATGCTAGCCCTCCCCTCCCGCTTCGAACGGGACAGAAGGCGCGCCGACAAGATGCAAAATGCCAAATTTCATCAGGAGTCACGAGCAGGTGGGAGCTAAAATAGGCGTCTCACGCCGGCTTTCCCCTTTTGTCATCAAACCAACGGCAGGACGGCGGGTGGGGGAGAGAATCAAAGGAGGTCGATAGGGAAGGAATCAGGTGACCAGGTGCATGCTGGTCCCAGCTGGTGCACCTGTTGTCAGGGCCGGCAGGTGTGGGGAGAATCCCGGTAGGGAGGTCATTTCACATCCTCATCAGTCAACTTCAAAGAACTCGCTGGTGAATTTATCTCTTTATTAAGCCGAGCCGCGGCGAAGTAAGACCCAGTGACCCCCGGCGGTTCGGCTTCGGGCCGCCGGCCATTCGTCGGGTTTTCTTTTCTTGGCATATTTCTCCTTTGAGAAACACCAAATGGTCTAATTTAGCCATTGCTGCCACAAATCTTTCCCGCTTGACATCTCGTGAGCCGCTGTGAGCGATGTTTGCCATTTCTCTGCTGTTGGAGGCTGCCGGCGGGGGGGGGGGCGGCCGGCCTGTTAACGAGTCCACTAACTCCTCCTGCGCGTTGACCAGAAAACAAAATGACCCCCCCCCCCCCTGCTCGGACGTCTCTCATTCCTGCCGCGGTGCTTCCAGTGCCGATACGGCGCCGTCGATCTCCCTCTCGCCCCCGTCAGGGAGTTCTTTTGTGTTTCTCAGGCACATAAAACCCGGGTAATTAAACTGGATTTTATGGCCGTGGCGCCGCGGCGGGATAATCAGCAGCGGGGGCAAAGGGGCCGGCCCGAGGCCGGAGCGAGACGCCACGCGGGTTTCACAAAGCGCTGCGTTGGTGCATTCGGCCCTTTAACAGCCTGGTGGAGGGTGAAAAACCTGCTCCGCCTCAGAGAAGTAAGACTTCCATGTTTGTCTCTATTATCCTGCTGCAACAAAACCTTTGAATTGGTGCAGCGTTGAAGGTGGAAACGTTCAGCGTGAACGCATCCACAGGAGTTACCTGGTAAACATCTAATACACGCCGGAGGGGAAAAGACCAAAGTGGTGCTTGAGCATTCGCCGCCGCGCCGGCTTCTCTGAGATTCATCTCGCGCGGAGCTGGAAATTAGACTCGCGGGGGCGGCGGCGGCGTTGGAAGGTTTCATGTGGGGGGGAATGAGATTTCACCAAAGGGAAATATCACAACACATTTCAGTAAGCGGTTGCAGCTTTACAGCGTCGGTATTGTTTCAACATGTCGAAGTCGACAACGAGAGGGCGCTTTGCCTTCTGGTTGACCTTTGACATTAAAGGATTGTTATTTGAGGTTTCAATCCCCTGCAATGTTTACAGTACATGATTAACACGCGATTGACCTTCTTTTATGTGTTTACCGAATCCCCGAACATGAAATAAAATCCAGTTTGACGTTGCCAACTAAAAATGAGCCCAAAAGGTCAAGATGACTCTTGCCGTTTCCTGAAATATGTCCCAATAAAGTGTCAGTTTAAGGGATTCGAGTGCTTATTTGAGGCCAACAATGACACACTTTGACTTTGACTCAAAGCACTAGAAGAAGAATCACGCGTCTCAGTGGGGAGAAAAGGGGGTTTTTCATTTTGAAAGGCTGTGATTGTTTGGAACAGCGGCGGGTTTCTCAGACTATTTCATTTTTTTGTTTTGCCTTATTTTTTTCGAGGTGAAGATCGCCTGGCGCTTCCCCCGGGAGAGAAGCTGATTGAGAGCTCCGGCCTCGTGTCTGGGTGTGGAGAACAGAATGTTCCTCTTCTCTGGCACCGAGGAACACCAGCGTTTTATTTCACAAGCCTTCGACCAACACGATGACCAACGTGTCTTCTGTCTTTATGCTAAGCTACGCTAACATCGTCCCTATCCGAACTGCACCGGATTATAAGACGCACCTTCAATAAATTACCTATTTTAGAACTTTTTTCATACATATGGTGCTTTCGGGGTCCGATCGGTGCTGCGAGGTGCGTCCGCTCCCGCCGCCCCGCTCGCCATCCACGCCTTCAAATCTTCGGCTGCTTTTAGAATAACTTATGTTCCCCGTTAAGATGGTCCAGCTACTGTAGAGAAAAGGGCGCCGTCTCTCGCTCTTTAATCTCATGAAGTGCTCGGCGAGAACGACAGCTTCGTTTCTCCGACGCGCCCTGAAAGCAGCTCCGTATCTCACGCGCTTGAGCGCCCGCTCAGCATCTCGCCGTCGTAGACCGAGCTTTGGCGTGTTTGGCAGAGCGCCTTGAGCGTCGTGTACGACCAGTACGGATCAACCGAGTAACCAATTGATCCACATACATAAAGGGCTCCGGATTATAAGCCGCAGGGTCGTTTTTTGAGGAAATTAAAGCCTTTTTAAGGGCGCCTTGGAGTGCGGAAAATGCGGTAATCAAGTGTACACATGTATTACAGGTCATGTATGATCCGAGGCGTGTTGATGATCAGCGTGATGCACGCGGGTGGCTTCGCTTTGCGTCCCACATCTACCTGCTCCCCGTTTACAACATGAAAAGTCTCTGTGTTGCCGGCGTGCTTATCAGGCGGCTGTGGAGTGCGTTTGTGTGTGAGTCAAAGTCACTGGGGGGGGCAGTGGGGGGGGCGGCGGGGGGGCATCGAGGCAGACAACGGCGGCCCTTGTTGGGGTCGGTCGGTTACAACATGCTGCGGGACTTAGGCTTCATTCATGGCGGGGCGCGAACCGCCTCCCTGGATAAAGTGCTCACTGTGTTTCCTCTCACAGAGTTCAATATGTT